CCCCCCCCCCCCCCCCCCCCCCCCCTCCCCTCTCCTCGATGTTGATAAGGCGTTTCCCTAAGGAAAGGGGTATTTTATTTTAACGCGTTGCTGCAAAGGGGGGGGGGGAGGAATGGGGGGCGAAACGGGGTCAACGAGATTTCTATCTTTTCCTTGTGTCTATTAGCTATTTGCCGTGTCGCGACCCCTTGACACGGTTACGAAATTTCTCCATGGCGACGCCATACGAAGTCGTTCGTAAATGCCATAGGAAGAGAAACAGACAGCAGTCACTTTTCTCATTCTGTTCCGAGTTTTACGTATCGGCGAGGAAACCGGGATGGGAAAGTTCTATCAGGTCCTATCAGGCGAAAATAGGACGCTAAAAAATGTTCCGTGACGTCACGCTTCAATACCACCAACTGCCAGAAAAGCGAGACCCCACGAGTTGATAAGAGCCGTCTTCACTTCTCAGATCGACGCCGTCCTTCGACACGGCTGCGTTAATTCCAGCCCGATTACCGGACGTAATGCCCCCTCGACGACATTAACCCGGTCTGGACGAGACACGTTCTTCGCGATGACTTTGGAGCTCTCCGTTTTACGAGTCACAACTCTTAACCCTCGGAACGCCAAGATCGGGTCAAAATGACCCGATGGCCAGTCCTCCAAGGTTCCGTTGGAATCATTTCTTTTTTTGGTATCTACTTGGGAAATAAATACATAAATATCTTAAAAAGGTATGTGTAGCTTCTATTCTGAACAAAAACCTCATTCGTTACGAGAAATATATATGGGTCAAAAATGACCCGATCTTGGCATTCCAAGGGTTAAACTCTCTTTGACAGAAATGATTTCGCAGGAAAGGAGATCTGTTTTTCAGCTCCGTGTGAAACCCTAAAAACAAGACACACCTTATTTCTCTATTTACCGCCCAAGCCACAAGAAACGCAGCATCCCTTTAGGCCTGACGAAAAGGATCGTCCGAATGTGAACGAAGAGAAGTAGACCAGCAGACGAATATGCTAAACTACAGAGGGCACTCGACGAAAAAAAAGTGGGTAGGTTTCTTATTTACAAATCTCGTAGGAATTCAGTAGAAGTTTTCCATAAGGCTAAAATGCAATGTTTTTCGTACCTGTCCATTTAGATAAGTGGTGAGGTAGTGGATGACGTCGTCCGGCCACGGCAGGGTGCCCCACAGCCCCCACCACCGATTAAGGACCGTGGTGACGTAGAAGCCAAGGACGAACGTCAGCGGGATGTTCTTGTTGAAGTCCCGGCAGTAAACCACCACCTTCTGGAACAGGCTGGGGACAGTCGCATTCCCTGATTATTGCGGGTTCGAAAGCGAACCGAAAGCAAAAATAGGGAAATGAAGCGATTCAGGAGATCTGTAGCGAGGTTGACTGGTATCTAGATTTGAGATGCGAGGAAAAAGAAATTTAAAGAATAAGTTAACGTTGAGATGACAACAGGACTCACCTCCTTTGGCCCGCATCCAATAGAAACCGATAAGTACAACTGAAGGTGTAAAAGAAAAGGAGCCAGATGACGATATCGAGGCCGATCAGCTTGTAGATGCTCCCCTTCCACCTGCACGAGATTTCGCGTTGAAACATTTTCGCTGCAAAACAGCGACGAGGATTCCGAATCGCTCACCTGAACAAAAGCTTAAAGATTCCGGTGATGCGACTCCCGCTCGCAAACTTCGGGATGGAGTCTGAGGCCGTCATAGCGATTCCCGAAGCGTCGAAGCGATTCCCGAAGCGTCGAAGCGATTCCCTTAGTGTCGAAGCGATTCCCTTAGTGTCGTTCTGCGACCGTCGGTCCGCTCGCCACTCGGGGTTTATGCCGTGCGAAGGGGCGTTGCTGACCGGGATTGATTCCTCGCCGTCCTCGATCGTGCATTAATGATGAGAGGAAAGCTATCGCGCACTTGCGCCTTTACGGACCGAGAAGACGTGAGAACCGTTCGATCTTCGGCTGTTCGCTCGGAGGCGGCATGCATCAGGCGGAACGATTTTTCGCTTTTTTTTGGGGGGGAGTTCTTCCATTTCTATGTGGCGTTTCTTAGATTCATTTCTTATTCATTATTTGGCCTTGCCTTGTACGTATGATTTTGTGGTCTGGCTTTCCTCTCCTTTTCTTCATTTTTTATTGAGCTATTTCCTCTGGAAGAGCAAAATTAAGAGAAATTCGGAGCGATCATCTTCTCTTCTCAGAGCAAAAAACGAGGAAACTGGAGTTAGCCCTCGCTCGTTTTCGAGAGTGCAGAGCAGATAAGAACATTAAAGGCAAGGGAACGATTGGGATTCGAAAAGAAATGGCCGGAATGGGGCCGAGCGTTCACCTCGATCCTCAGAATGTGATTACGTTTCGTTAGCAGACGGCCGCATAACGCCGCACCTCATTAAAATATCCATCGTAATTACTGATTACCAGCCTATGGCTGATGTTTGGTCCGTAGACCGAGACTAGGAGTTAGTCCCTCGGAAGTAAAACTGAGATCTCTTTGTACGCAGCACAAAAGTCGCTTTCGATGAAAGACCAAAGGGTGGCGAGTCAGTGGCGATAGGAACATTACAGGTATCGAGAAAATCACGGGTGATGAGAACGAAGAAGACTTGAGGTTCAACTGAGAAGGAATGTAGGCTTCGATGTGAAGTCACGTGTTCAAAACTGGTATTGCACAGTGGTCCCAAAGCAGTTATCTAAGCTGTACAGAGATGGCGCCAGTGCATTCTCAAACCAGATTTACTGCAACGGGATCAACATTTTTGCAACGTAAAAAATCATCATAAAGATAAAACGGAGGGAATCGAGGGGCTTTCGAGCGATGTATCGCATAGGAATTTGGGTTCAGAATCAGTATGAACGGTCATCTGGGCCAGGTCTAAGGACAATTCCGAAAAAGATCCAACAAAAGTTTGCACGTCTGCAAAAACTACGCATCGGATGAGCTGCCGATCGGTTAAGAAACCTGGTAGGAGTTCACGGGACAAAATCCGGATATCTGCAGATACAGTTTATTTACGATAGCGGAATCGATCGTTTTGAAAAGTCGATCGACCGTGCTGGCGGACCAGATGCTAAAAAATGCAAGGCATAAAAAATGAACTTCCCCCCCCCCACTGCGCAGAGAAATTGAGAAAAGAAATCGGGGAGAGCCTCGATGAAGTCACGCGTGCATCCGCAGGGTCTATCCCGGAACCTCCGCAATCCATCATTCATCGAAACGAAGAAGATTGGGATCGACGCGCAAGTGCGGGATGCCTCCCAGTTTGTTTTTAATGCGGGAGGGATTCGGGCCTGGAGAGCGACATCGATCCAGATCAATGTCGCTCTGAACCATCGACCGAGAGGATGAGCTCCCACGGCATCGTGCCCGAAGGGGAAGGGCAGCCCCGAAGAACCATCCTGAAGGGAATCGTCACGAAGATCATCGACAATGCGCATAAGCTTGCAACCGCAAATCGCCATGGGGGCATCATTGGGCTTTTTGCCAGGTGAGTATCTTCAAATCCTCCATGAAATTTCAGTGACAAAAGTTTCAACGCGAAATCTCATGCAGGTGGAAGGGGAGCATCTACAAGCTGATGGGCGTGGACGTTGTCGTCTGGCTCCTCATCTTTTATACCCTTAATTGTATTCAAGGATTCGTACTGAATCCCAGCCAGAAGATGTGAGTGTCACCGTTCTCCTTCCATCAATTACATATCTTTCTCGAAACGCACCAACCCGATAGCCAGTCAGCTTCACTGCAGGCCAACTGAACGACAAGAACGGATTTCCCTTAGTTTTATTCACCGGCATCGAATTTGAAGCACTCAAGAACTCGGAAATGCGACTGTCCACAGCCTGTTCGCGAAGGTGGTGCTCTATTGCCGTGACTTCACGAACAACATCCCGCTGACGTTCGTCCTTGGCTTCTACGTTACCACGGTCCTTAATCGATGGTGGAGTCTGTGGAACACCCTGCCGTGGCCGGACGATGTCATCCTTTACCTCGACACTTACCTCAATGGACAGGTATCAAATATAACGAGTATTAGACCTTAGCGGCCCACTAATGGATTATCATCATTATTGAAATTGACGAGCACCGATGGTGTGCTCATATATCATTTGAAGGGTTGATCTAGGTAAATAAGAAGCGTGTTATCTATTATAAAGACCCACGGAAACAACTCATGATGAGAAAGTCGGGATTTTTTAAATCTCTGTCCAATTCTTGGGGGAGGGGGGGGGGGGGAAGAGTGACTAGGAAAGTTCTGAGACTTTTCTTTATAGAAACCAAAGAACGTCCGTCTGAAGAAAAGGTGTTGTCTGCAAGTGGGTTAAACCTTTTTTAACCTGAACGAGAGAACCTTGACGATGACCATTGCTTATGCAGGCCCAGTTCGGTCATCATTTCCTTTAACTTTCATTGGAATGAAGTCACCTATATTTGAAGGAAATAATGTTTTGAATGAGCATGAACTACGATGAAATAATAATCAATTGCGTATTTACCAAGAGGATACAAGTACAGTATATGTCTATAGGAAAACGTTAAATGTCACCTGTGATTGCAACATTTCTGAATAAAAAAGTAGCAAAAAGTTTTTTACTCTCCTTGTATAACTACAGTGTTAATATCACGCTTCGGTAATGAAAATTAAAGAGCTGTAACATTACGAGATAACAAGTAAATAAGTACAAAGCCCCTCGCTGGGAAAATGTAAGAATTGCGTGGTGCCAAAAGAATGGACCATCAATGGATGGACATCGGAGCGTCAGACCCAACTCCGAAGGCAGAGGAACTCTAAGGCATGATGCGTAAACGTTTCGAACCTAAGCCTCGGCTCGACTATCGTGTGGGATTGCATCTTGTCGTACCGCGAGGAATGAGGCACGATTTGAGGATTTGAGCGGACAATGATATGGATCTCGTGGCTCATGAGTTCGCATGCTCATTTTCTCTAAAATAGAGAAATTACTTATGGAGGTATTTGAGACGGAATGTTTGAAATTAAAAGGGCCACTCGTTACCACGATAAGAATAAGAACGAGAGTATTTGTGAACGAAAGCCACAACCTCTCAGAAGTCGGAATGAGATTCTCATGTAAGAAGGTGGAGAGGGAAAGTGGAAAGGGAGAAAGGGGAAGTGGGGAGGAAGGAGGAGAGAGGGAAGAAGGAGGAGAGAGGGAAGAAGGAGGAGAGAGGGAGGAAAGGAGGAGAGAGGGAAGAAAGGAGAGTGGAGAGGCGAAAAAGGAAGAAGCTCACTCGTGAATCCTTTCTTGAGGCAGAAAAGGACTGAGCGAAATAGAATCATTCTAAAATAACATGTGGTCAGTGTATTTGCAAAATAAAGGGTATTTTAATAGGGGGAACTAAATAGGGGGAACTAACGTCTGAGTTCCTTATGTGTTATGCATGGGCCGTCTCAGACGAATGGAGTGTAATTTAGACTAACAAAGGGACTCAATCAATTATTTAGGCACAAAACAACCCTAATAACCCAAGATTAGAAGCATCAAAAGCCAATTTCTTCCCTGAGACTGAGACCTGCCATCAGTCATGTTGGAAAGCTTCGAAATGACATTTCTAGCCAGGAGCTGCGCGCAGATTGCATTTTCAGTGAATATCGATCCGTTTGACGCAATGACTGACTTGATATATTCGGTACGAGTCTCAATAATTCATCTGAGATGTCATGCATGAGCAGGAAATGATGAGGTTCGCGGTCGGATTGGTATATTAAGGAATAGAACTACATGCTTCTAAATATCACCCCAACCTTTACCTGTGGCATAAAATCTGTCACGACCAAGTTCGATTTTGATCTCTCTCTACACTGTGGCATAATCCTCGAGTTAACCGCTTGCTATACATTTTTTAAAATTTATTGTCCTACCTCTTCGCAATTGCCATTGCCAACCATAGTAGCCAGGGTGACCTGAGACAATTTATTGATATTTTCTTTTAAAGGCAATTCAAGCTTTTCCGATGATAGTTGAGTGGTAACGTCCGGTCGTGAAGAGGCGTCTTTTGTGACCAGCGAACAGGCCGATTGAAATGGACTTCGAGATCCACGATTCCTTCAATTCGACAGAGTGACTCGAAATCTTACTCCTTCCCTCGGGGAGAAAACTCAATTTCCTCAAGTCGCTCCAGATGAAGTGACAGGAAATATCGCTCCCAGTCGAGTCCATGTCGTCGGGACCACACGAGCATACACGTATGAGCAGTCTTGCGTTAACTTCTCGCCTGTCTACGCCCCCCCCCCCCCAACCTCAACCTCAAAGATGAAGTGAGAATAATCGGGTGGTAGATGATTCTGCAAACTCTGATCATCCATAGGGAATCGAGCGAGACGGTGGAGCGTACATTGGAGTAAGAACTATGGGTATTGAGCGAAATGGAGGAGGACGGTTTGCCAGCCCCCGAAAACTAGTCACGTGCATCTAGGGAGCGGAACTGGAGGATCGTTTAAATAATGGAACTGGAGGGGTCGTTCAGGTAATTTATTTATGGAAAAAGAAATGGAGATGGTTCTGGTTGTGATACATTTACCAGGAAAAGTCGGAAAATAAGGTCAATCAAAATGTTTCGCCTGCACGCAACACAATTACTGCACACAAAAAAGTTGTATATGCAGATGAAAGTACATGTCCTTTCCTATTTTATTCCGATGTAGTGTAGATGCGAAGACCCTGCAGGGGAGATAATCAAACATGGTGCGCAGACTGGAATTGTCAATACGTGAAGAGCAGCGGAGTGTGATCAGGTTTCTATGAGCGCAGGGCCACAAACCGGCTAGCATTCATCGTGAAATGAGTGCTGCATATGGAGACAACTCCGTCAAAACGTCATTTCTATACGTGGTATGACAAGTTCTCTGCGGAACAACACAAGTGTCGTCGACGACACTTGTGCGTCCTCCAGCGAACTTGTCCTACCACTCATAGGAATGACGTTTTCACAAAGTTGTCTCCATACGCAGCGCTCATTTCACGATGGATGTTCGCCGGTTTGTAACCCTGCGCCCATAGAAACAGGAGGAACAGTGTACAGCACAGCAGTGCCCGTTCCCTTGGTTCCAAGCGTGACCATCTGTGCACTGTTCCTTCCGTCAAATGATTTTATCTTATGAGGCAATTGCGTGTTAATATCAAATTTGGTATCGTTAAAAGGGCATAAAACACACTTGGAATCAAGTGTTGGAACCACGAGTTCCAACAAGGGCAGGTATAGATATCGGCCACTGAACTTATTCAAACTGTTTGAAAGTGGAAGTTCTTGTTTTAGCTTCGGAGAACTTAGAACAATTTTAAGAAAGAGAATAATGTCCTAGGACAATCTAAAGACGGCAGTTTTACAATTAAAATGGCACCGTAACGATGCTTTTATCTCGAATAGAAGAGAAGTTACTGCAAAAATAGTCTCACAATTCCAGTCTTATAGGCGCCAGGAACCAAAAATAGATGAATATGCATAATGCATATATCTCGAGATCGGAGCGAGATTTAAAAAAAATCATGGAATTCATTTTCTTATAATGAATTCCGATTTAAAAAAAAATCAAAATCGAAGATGGTTGAGCTCATCAACTGGTCGATTTGGTGTGGAGTGACCCAAGAGTCAAGAATTGCTACGCTAATTTTGACTATTTTTTGGTCGTTTCTTCCGAAGTATATTTCGCCCCTAACTAATATTACACCAAACTGCTCAGGAGAAGCAGACAAATCGATTGACAAATCGACGGGACAAATAAAAAATGTAGGTGACTTTTGAATCACCCTGTATATAAAAACCGAATACAAGGAGGGATAGCTATGGAACAATGTCTCAGGCTTTAGGCCACATTTTTCCATCGTACCAACAGATTGTTAGACATTCTGCTAAATATGAAGGAAAAATCAAATCAAGGATGTTGACGGCCGTAGCTAATTTCAAATAGACAGCTCAACATAGACTTGAGGTACGTCGAGTGTTTGAAATCCAGGACTCGGGACACGAGAGTGCACGATTGCCCAACCTGTTGCTTGGCAACAATCCTGTGTCTGCACGACTCGTCTACCCCTTCATACAGGCAGCGCGAAGTCATCTATGTTGTATGGCAGCTCCCAAGAGACTGAATGATGCGATGTGGCGCTATGAAGAGGGAGGGAAACATCGAGGGAAACGGAATAGGAACAATAGTTGAACCTCCTCTGCTACTGCTTTGGATGCTCCATTGAATTACCAGGCACAATTTTAAAGGTGATGCAAATTCATTTGCGAAACACAGTAACACTTACCAGATTCATTGGGCTTCCGAGTGAGAACTGGGATCGATCAGAGCAGTGGCTGCCTCCTTCTCAGTCGACAGGCAAATCGCACGCTTTCGTGCTGAGTGTCTGCCTGACGTGGGGGAACACGGACATTCCACTTCGTATGTCACACCTAAGACATTCCCCTTAAAAAATCACTCGTGAGTCATTCCGTGTCAATTGGTCCAATTTTCAAGAAATTGGTTGCTCTACCGATTGGGATTTGGCTGTTAAAGATCCGGTGTACTGGGGGCTATGAGAAACTGATAAATCCAAAATTGCAGCAGTCTTTGTCAAACGATTTCCTTGAGATATGCCCCTTAAAAGTTTGGGATGGAACGTTAAAATGACCCTACAAATATATTCAATATCTCCCAAACTATTCAATATAGAAAGTTGGTTAATAGCTCATTTTATGACGAGTAGGCAGGCATCTATATGGCTTTCTATGCATTTTTCTATGTCTTAATTAGAAAAAAGTTATAATTTTGTGAAAATTCTGAAATGATAAAATTCTCAACCCTAAAAATTCAGTGAAAATGCTTTTAACTAGACTAGCCTCGGAGTGTATTTCATGCTCCTTTAGGTAAGTCTAAATACACATGCATTTCGTTTTTACATCGCTTTAAAATCCCGTTATGCGTACTTAACCCTCCGTTAGTCCTCCCACTTATCGATGAAATCGATTTCAATGTCGCGTGGGGCTTCTGCCCCGGAAGACTAACGGAGGGTTAAAGCAGTATATTTAACTGTATTTGGTCAGCTTTGACCTTCAATAATTTTTATTTGATTCCAAGTACAGGTATACTACTTCCACATAATTATAGATCTCTCGAAGCTCTTTCGAGCCTTCATTGTCTCATTATGTCATTTATGTTATTCTGAACGTTGAGATTTTTTCTTGACCATCTCGAATTTACCATCAAGTGCTTAAGTCCACCTGGATAGTGCTCAGCCAGGAAAACATTATATTCGATTTTGTGGGTTTGACACGATTATGGGGAACACCTACGCGCATTTTAAAATCGTTACACGAATTACTTTTATACTAAAATTTAAATGACCAAAAATATGAAAAATGAAAAACATTGTTTAATTTCTTTTGATATATTATCAACAAAATCTCTATTTCCGCTGCCCGCTTCTTCAGTTTCTTTCTCTTCCAATGCTTTCATTGCATTCCTAAGTCTATCTTGCTAGGAGATAGAAACATGCCGAGAATAGAATTTCTGGAAATTAATCCTTTCCAAAAATGTCATGACCTCCAAGTCCTGAAATTGCTATCCTGAAGATATGAATTGGGACACACCTACCACATTCTAAAGACAAATTAAGGCACAGATAAATTCATAGAAAACCATATGGAGGCCTTGCCTACTCGCTTTAAAATGAGCTATTAACCAGCTTTCCATCTTGAGTAGTTTGGGAGATATTCAATTTGTTTGCGGGGTCATTTTAACCCGAATACTGTGGGTCCCGGAATATTACGGGTGCCAGACTGACAACGTCATAATAAATGCAACAGGAGTAGGGTCAACATTCCATCCCAAACATTTAAGGGGCAATTTTTCAAAGATCGTTTGACCAATACTGCTGTAATTTTGGATTCATCAGTTTCTCATAGCCCCTAGTAAGCAGGAATTTCAACGGCAAAACCCCAATCGGTGGAGCAACCACTTTAGAACCACTTGAGATGGAACGACTCTCGTGCCAGTCAAGGGCCAGGCAACCCAGGATCTGCATCTGAGACCTCATTCAGGGCACTAGAGGGGCCTCTCGAAAGGACCGTCATGACTAGGGAGGTGCCTGTGCCTATTAGATTCCTGCCTCGTCTACGTGTGGGGTAATGGGCCTTTATCGTATGCTTCCGTCGCATGTTCTGTTCTATTGATAAAAAACACTAGCGCTTACCAACAGCCAAACACGAAGCGTTAAATACGAATTTGAATTTACCCAATGAATGTCATCGATGCAAAGCCAGAGAGGAGGAAGGGACTTCGTAAGGTTAGTTTGGCACTGCGACTATTGCCAATCCTATGAAATTGGATCTGTGGAAATAGCAAAGTCTAGCCTGTAACAGGCCTTTTCACATTTCCACATGATTTCTGTTAATGGGGTCGTCTATCCTTCATGTACTCACTGTTGTCATCTCATCTGATTCTGGATGTACAAAATGCAATTATACGTTCATGTTTTTTTTTCTCATTCTGCCAATATCACAGGATTCGCGATCCCAATTGATGAGAAGGACAATCCTGCGGTATGTGAACCTGGGGATTATCAGCTGCATGAGGTTCTTCAGCAGCCGAGTCAGAAAGCGATTCCCGTCCACGGAAAGCCTTGTGAAAGCAGGCAAGAAAAAATATATTTACCATGTTTGCTATACCTTTTCTGTTGCGTTTCAGCTACTTCAATCAGAGCTCGCTCTCTCTCTCGCTCCTCAATTCAACGCTCCCAATTCATTTGAACGCGAAATTGTTGTCTATCTGCCGAAAAATATATATACTTTCCTCATTAGGGAATAATAACTATTGGATCTGCAATAATTAACACTGTCCAAGACAAAATCAATGAAAAGTCTCCTTGCCGGGAGTGGCTTCATTAACCCTAAATTACTCCTCCAAAGGGAGTGGCATGTGCACTCATGACATTGTTTAAACAGTGAATAATACGATTCCTGTTATATGAACTTCCAGTCCTCAGGCGATGAAGACTTTCTACATCAGGTTTATTTCTTGTTGCGAAGGGATGATGGAAGAAAGTGAACGACACATAATAGAAGTGACAGCAAAAGATTCGCTTCGGTCCATGTACTGGATCCCCTTCACGTGGGCGACGAGCATCGCCCATCAAGCCAGGGAGGAGAATCGGATCGAGGGCGACGGTGGGCTTCGGGACGTCGTCGATTCCTTGACTGCTCTTCGTCGGACGTGTTCTCTCTGTCAGCACGTGGAATATATCGAAGTCCCTTTCGTCTACTCCCAGGTTTTCTTTCCGATCAGTTCGTCTGCCGACGGGAGTTCACTAAATATTAGTGCATGAGACACGGTTTGATTCTTCTGAAGTAGGAAATTATTGCCTTTAAGCTTGGGGTGGTGTCTCTTCGTGAAGAGAACGGATCATTAATCATTCTAAACGGAAGTCATACTTTATTATAAAGGATGTTTAAAATCAAAACGTGATTAGTAATAATATTTCTATGAAGACTATCCATCCTTGCGCAAAGACTATCTATTCTATTCATCAGTTATTTATAGTGTATTCCCTCCATCATGAGGTCGAGCAAACAGAGGAAACAATTAACCTGTCAAACGGCAAACCAATGAAGCAAACTTGACTGCTGACTAAGTAGGTCATTCAGTCACCATGGGTCACCACGGAGACAGAATGACCTTCCAAGGATCACCATGAGTTACCATGAGCTACTGCATCCCATTGGGTCACTAGGTACCACTCTCGGTTAAATTAGGTCACTCTGGATACATTTTTGTAAACTTGGGTCACCTAAGTTTAATTATATTAGGTATATATTCAGCAATTTATAATCTAATATATATAGACGATCGTGACTGACTGACTGACTTAGGCAGGGCCTCCATTTGGTTTTCCATGAATTTATCTGTGCCTTAATTTGTCTTTAAAATGCGGTAGGTGTGTCCCAATTCACATCTTCAGGATAGCAATTTCAGGACTTGGAGGTCATGACATTTTGGGGGGAGAAGTTTTTAAAGATATATATGTTGTGACGGATTAGGATGGCATCGAGGGGGGTGACAGGATGTCTCGGGTACGGTGGTGTAGTGGTAGCACATCTGACCGGCAATCAGCAGGCCCGGGTTCAATTCCCAGCCGTTACTTGGCCTTCTTTCGGTCTCAAGCACTCTTAGAAAAAGGGGAACGATTTTTCTCAAAAAAGAGAGTAAGATAGCTAACTCCAGTTTCACCCCCCTTTCACTCTGGGAAAGGAGCAAATTTACTACATCACCAAGGAGTAAAATTGCTCTCCTTCTCCTTGAGTAAAAACGCTCCCATCAGAAAGTGATAGGGATGTCATGCAAATACGAAAAATCTCATATATACTGTGTCGCTTTCGCTATCGTACAGGCATTGACCTGCCTCTGACGTTTACTGATTACAGCACACGTCAGAGGGTGAACCACCTCTTGGAGGTTCGGTAAAGTGTCCGTGATATTAGTCCCTTATTACCTCATTTAATTGAGATTTGATTGGATGAAGTTCACGAACACTCTCTATATATTCGAGATATCTCCTATACGGATAAGACCATATGCGTTCCAAAAGGGTTATCAATAGGAATATGAGCTTGTTTATGGTCTGGACTCTTTGAATCTGTCTTGAATATGTGGATAACAGATGATGAAGTGTCCGTGTTTATTGATTCCTATAATGAGACTAGGCGAGACATACGGCAAGGTACTAAACAATCCTGTGAAGGACGATTTCAGTGGAAAAGGGAAGGGAACTTTTTTGTACTGTACGAAAAGCGAGATCCTTACCTCCATCTAGTGGTCTGGTGAAGAACTTCAAGGTGTTCACTTCAATACGAGCGATGAGGGAGCATTTGGTGAGTAATAAGAGAGTAAATTCGAAAAGCTCATGGTGTGCTCACTTTTTACTCCCCAAACGCTCGGAATTTTCTTAGATTGTACCTCCCAAGTCGCGTTACTCATTCCCCCTCCGTAACAATCTTTTTGCTTTAGTAAAACTGAGAGACATGGAAAGCTGAAACTTGACATGGACATGCCTACCGAGACGACGAGTTCAAGAAAAATAAAAAATTTAAGATCCATGCCCTGTGGGGGCATGTTTTTAGGGGCCGACGTTTTCGCGTAATTTTTTTTGCCTTGGCGTATTGCGTTTGTGTGGAAAGATGAAACTTGCTACATAACTACCTATTGGGATGCTGCGTGCATAAAAATTCAGACTTTGGAAATAAATGCCCCGGGGGCACAAATTTCAAAGGGATATGTTTTCAAATAAGTTTTTTTGCATCAGTTAAACTGATGAACATGGAAAGCTGAAACTTTGCATGAATGTGACTACTGAGACAAGGAGTTCAATGAAAATGCTAAGTCTCGATACATCCCCTGGGGAATTTTTTCGAGGGGCGATGTTTAAAAAATATTTGTCGTGGCGAATTGGACAGAAATGGAAAGGTGAAACTTGGCACACGTATAAGTGACATGATATTATTATTATTGAGTTGAGGGAGTATTCAGCTTTCATGGTACATCCCCTCCTGGCATAGCTTTTGGGTGGGTCGGCTTTTCCAAACATGTTTTTTCACCAGCGAAAAGGGCAAACGTATAAGTTTGAAACTTTGTTGGCATATAGTTCTTTGAGGATTGATTTCGGTAAATAAAAAAAGTACTTTTCGGTTAAAACGCCTGAAGGCACATATATTGCAAAAGGCGTATTTTCTCGATCTAGCAAAACAGAGGGCTCTAGAAAGTTTAAACTTGCCGAAGAAAAACCTGATGGATAGCTGAGTAAAGAAAAAATTCTACTTTTATTATATTATATATAGAGGATCGTGAGTAGCTGACTGACTGACATAAGTCGCTATTCGCATGCTGAGTTCAGGAAAAATTCTACTTTGGTGATACATGCCATAGGGGCACACCTTTTCGGGGAACATATTTTCTAATAGTTCTCTTTGCTTCAATCAAACGGAGACACAAGGAAAACTGAAACCTGGCAAGAACGTGACTGATGACGCACTGAGCTCAGGAAAAATGTCAAATTTCCAACATATTGGAATTTTGGGGGTATTTCTTGGGGACGTTATGTTTTCAAAGAATTTTTAATATCCCAGCGAATCGGGCAGAAATAGAAAAGTAGCAGTTGGAGCAAGCATAACGGACGTGATGTTGATTTAAGGAAAAATTCAACTTTTGCTGTGCGTCTCCTCAGAGCACAGCTTTTGAGTGGGTCGCTTTTCCAAATATATATATTTACCGCCAGTAAAAAGGGGAAACGTATAAGGCTGAAACAGGGTGGCATGGAGTTCCCTGAGTCTACATTTCAGAAGAAAAAAATTTTCGTTAAAAAACATCAGGGCACTTTTTTTTTAGTCCCATTTTCCTGAATTATTTTTTGATCCAACGAAACAGAGACAGAAAATTTAAAATTCTCTCAGAAGTACCTATTTGATGACTGAGTACAGGAAAAACCCTACTTTTGAAATATGCCCCATTAGCGTAGATTATAGGAGGGAAGTATTACAAAATGTATTCTCCACCCTTACAAAAAGGGACACATGAAAAGATTTCAAGTTAGGCACACCAGAAATAATAGAAGTAATGATTTTGATAAAAATGAAGACTTTCGTCCCCGCATGTCACGTATTTCAATGGGGACGTACTTTAAATACGTGTTTGCCATTTCGCAAAGAATAAATGAATTAATCACTATCCAAGGTAATGGAGCGCCGAAGGCGCGACCATAGCATAGTAAAAAAATACCATACCAAAATACCATTGTAAAAAAATTTGGTTCATCGAAAAGACGAGGGAAGAAGTTTCCAAGAACCTCGGCCTATATTGACCTTCTTATTATAAAGTGCTGAATATGGATCATATCGGTCAATGACCACTCCCATCTCTCAGATTAAATTAGGCTTAAGTTGTCAATTTGGGTCAACCTGGGTCACTCAGTATCACTGGGTAATTTTGACCTGATTTTGAGATGAAGAGAAATTTGGCATTCTACTGTAGTATGGACATGTGAATTCCAGACAGTCTTAGGCTGGAAAAGATCCCCATGTAATTTCCCCCTGGTTCCTGACTGGTTACACCCTGCAAATATGTGGACAATGGTCATGGAAAATGTAGGAAAATGTAGTCATATTCTTAAAATACTCCAAGCAGCTCTTGGTGCCTTCTGAAATATAAATCTAAAGTGTTACAGTACTTCACTATGAAAAAAAATGCCAAGGAGCTTTCAGTTTTTCAGATCAAACAGCATGATTTGTGAATGCGATTGTCTCATCAGGTGGTGACAGTTGCCACTTACAGTTTCTACGGTGCTCTGGCGATGAGCAGCCAGTCCGTTGAAGGTGACAACAGCCAAGAAGATGAAATTAACTCCTACGTTCCCATCACATCCGTATTCCTGGTAACATGGACACTAACGCATGGTCGTGACAGTGTAATGAGTCGAAGGCAAAAAGGATGACTTTTTTTTCCCGTCCTTCAGTTAGTCCTTTATGTCGGGTGGCTGAAAGTGGCCGAGTCTCTCATCGATCCATACGGGGAAGATGATGCTGATTTCGAGCTCAACTGGCTTCTTGACCGTCACATCAAGGTGAGCTCCATGGTATCTAGGAAGTTCATACAATATGAATATGGACGTCAATAGTATTATCGATGTCTTGCTTGAAGGTCACACACGTGATGGGCGAAGGGTTGAATTTGGACTTCAAGGAATACACATGGAAGGAAATGTTTCCTTGGCTCTACGACCCGGCATTGGTGCCGAATCCCGAATTTCTCACCTTCGCAAACGTGATGGACACTGACAAAAATGCAAAGGTGAACCTGTTTGCATAATTTAGAGCATCAAAAGTCACCGTTTCACAAATCGAGAGGGAAGGATTGGCGTGCCTTGCTAACTTTTTCTCGTCGTTTTGCCTCGAGAAAGATGGCACCGACACACGAAAGGTTTTACGTAATTGCTAATGCATAAAACAATGAGAAGAATACGGAACTTCTCCAGTCTTCAGAAACATGATCCTTCCTTATCTCCCATGGAGGGATCAGTTGACACGTGGGGTCGTGTATTCTGGATCGATACGGTTTCCAGAGAGACAAGCACACCGAAGGGATAATGACGAATCAATACCCAGAATATATATTATTCAGTATTTTGCGGTTCTCATGCTCTCCGTCACAGTACAGGGATTCCAAAAAAGGGGTCATCTACGGGCAACTCTTTCATCATTGGATTTGAAGTATTCTTTTGTGCCGATACATTGGCTCTCCGTAAACATCGGATACTTATAGAATAATTACAATTGGTCGATCCCCTAAATTGTCAAATGGAAGCACCTTTTTTTAACGTATCCAGACATCATTAAACGATTAAATGAAACTACAGCTGAACCATGTCGCTCAGGCGCAAGGCCCATCATGTATACATTTCAGTGAATCTCCGTGGAGGAACGGGGATTTCCAGACATTTAACTACCGAAGTTTAAAGGGCGTGTGTAACTAGCGATAATAGCATAGGGAAAGCTCCCTAAAAAGTTATCGATGGGTTACATGTAGGTGCATGCTGGTTGGGTACACAGTAGGAGCTTTGGGCGTTTTTTAAGATATAAAAATTTCAACAGCGGTGTGGTTTTCTTCGCTCATTGTAGTTATTTCGTGTTTCCTCTAATCGCTTTCATGACGAGACGTCCTGATTTGAGGTATTACGAGCTGTTTTTCAACATGACTACTCGTAATTTATTAACAGACAAAAATTGTCTCATATTCTTCAGACATGACCCTTCCATTGGTAACGGCTGAAACAGTAACAGATCATCATTTCATAAAATGCAGAGTTTATGCCCGAACGGAGTCGATGAAATGGACAATCCATGGTGATGCAATACGTTTTGCCACCACTGTATTTGTGCGTTAGTTTGGATCGATAGAATCTGAAATACATTCTCAACTCCTCGTTTGAGCTGAGATTACGAAACACAAATTCATGGAGCATTCTTGTATGGCAAGAGAAAATCCATCATTGGTAGGAACCGTTTTGTGGGGGAGAAAACAAAAATTGAAGGAAATTTCGTTCTGACAGCCTGATCAGGATTTCTCAGTACGATAATCTGGGCGGGATTACCGCAGAGAGTAATCTTGGACTTCCTTTCCTAGGCTTGTTGCGTATTCAGCTGAAACGGCCAGTGACGAAAAGTGTCTTGGACATCATGTCGGACAGCAAAAGAGCTAAATGAGGTCATTCTAAAATAAGGTCCGATGTCGATGAGCGATCGATCCGTTCATCTTTCTTTCATCGCCCCGTCGTGGCTCCTGAAAAGAATCCTCTGTCGTGCAAGCTGAGTCAAAGTTCAAGAGTGCCTTCGAATGACATGAAATTCGATATAATCGAATTCCGATCAATGAAGGGGAAAATAATAGGACAGATCCACAATTGCTACTTTTCCGAATTGAAAGAAAAAGACGTCACAGAACACGAAGACCATAAATACTTTAAGATGCATTCAGCGCGCGTTTTCAACTACCAGCCAAGCCAAGTACAAATTTACTATTCCACTGCCTATTAAAGATCACCGTACACACTGCTTTACAGTACCCAAGTATCAGTATCCAAATATCATGAGTGAAAATTCTCATGAAGGCACAATAAAACAAGTATATCTTTTTTTTGCACACGATTTGTTGATATGAAAAATGTGGACAGATAGAAAGAAAAAATAAACATGGCAATTGACTTGCACGATCGAGGAAATTACAAGGAATGATTGAAATCCGATGCTACAACAATAGATATTTGGAGATTAGAAGAAGCTGAAACGTTTTGGATGCCTGATGGATCCGTAAATTGCGAGGGCAGGAAGGGAACTGGCAGTTTTTTGCCGGTGAATGGCGCTTAGACCCAGACTGTAGGCCTTACATGCGTATTGAGTATCGAACGAGACAATGCTCCGGTTACTTTAGCAACTGCTAACAGATTGAATGAAAAAAAAACCAGATCGATCTCATTACCGATCGTGTTCTCTCAGGTCACGATGGGAAGGGCAAATAATTGTGTCGACTCACACTACTGCATGTACGAGTAGAAGAGTAGCGATGAAAGGCTCGGTGACCTTTACATGTCAAACAGTGGACCTTCTTTCGGTAAAGGTTGGAAACGAATCTATTGACTTTTTCGTTGTAGACTGAAGCCATCTCCCAAGGGGTTTCCACCCAACCCACACAGGTGTCTGTACCATTAAAGTTCTTTTTTTAATGGTCAATGCAAATTAAGGTGATTGGAGAATGCGAGATTAGCCCTAGATTTGAGGGGTGAAGGGAAATCATTTGGAAATGTCCACCAGAAGCGATGCAAACCTAAGCCTTGGGCCCAATCCCATATTTCGCAGCTCTCAAGCAACCAACTTGAGGAATCTTTGAGCGACGGTAACGGTTAGCAGACTACACGAACTGATCGACGAAACCAGACTGGAATATAACTACAGATGACGCTTTTCTCCTCGATGAAAAAACGAAAATAAAAGAGAGTGAATGCTTCTGATCGAACAGATGACGGAACCGGAGGAGGCACCCTTTCCTCTGAGCGATCCAGAGATCCTGAAGGCGGCAACCCTCTTCCGCATATTGAAGCGGAGCAACGCCAAAGTGGAGGCCTCCGAGGCTTCACATTACATCTCGGACGGCCGCGTCTCCAACTTTGAGGAAGAGATCGCGCTTTTCGAGAAGGAGTGGGGTCAGCTGTAGTATCTGCAGTCCTATGTGGATTTCCGCATTTTTATCTTCGAGTCTAATTTCACTCCAATTGTCGCGTACCACTCTTCCGTGTTCATGTAACACCCCCATACGGCAATAAATCCCTTCTTCAAAGATGGCCAGTTCGTCTTCGTAGTACATCAGAAGTGATATTTCTTGTGCATTCTCTTGTTCTGCTGTGGAAATTGTCCATGATTTGGGGACTGAAGTGTATATTTACCTCAGATTTACTTTCTCTTCATAGGGATGTGACACTCCATGACAAATGACCACTCTCATTCTAACAACTTACCCCTTCTGGTCTTGGACAGTTTGAGGTCAGCCCATGACCTCAACATTTGCGAGAAATCACAGATCTCCTTGAAACCGAATTTGCCAAGGTCATAAGTCCGATACGAGGGACCTGATCGAGCTCAACTTTTGCATGCGATATTTTTCCCGGTGGCCCTTCGTTCAGAAAATCTTTGAAAAGAATCGTTGAGAGTTTGGCGTTGACCTTTGGGTGATCAGTCGCGGAATACCCTGCATGACAAGTTGATCTAATGGATCATTCCTATTCTATGCAAGAGAAGCAATTCCTTGTAAATAACAAGGGTTCAACAGAGCTTATTCCGGAATTCAGCCAGGTCCTTCCCTTTGGAAATGATTGGGAGCTCGTTTAAAGATAACAAACCCAACTGGATAACCAGAACGGCAAGTTTCTGAGAATCGGCCTAAAGATATACTGCACCTATATCTTCCTATACCTTGTATACTTGAGAGATCCAGTGCTTAAAAGGCAGTATGGAATATCCATCATTGGAATCCTTATCCGGAAGGAGATATTTCGTTCCGAAGCTCATTTTCACTTGGGAGAAAAGAAAGAAGTCAAGCCACATTCATTCCCATGGAATCGAGCGAAGATCGTTTTCCAAGGCAAACTCACTCGCTGCTGTAGCCGTTCAGGAATGAGGCGATTGTGTGGCAGCTGGACCCACAGCTGCCACACGCTCGAAAGGAGGCTGACTGCCTTTCTCTCGCCTGGCCTTGGTGCTGGGTAAGGAGGAGGAGGTAGGTAGGGGGACTTCGGAATGAGTGCACTCGCCGTTATGATGGAAAACTAGACATTCTAGGGGCCTGCTGGTGCCAGCAGTGCTAACGTTTGCTTCATTTTACACCGGATGCTGACAAAGTCAGGGCGAACCGGAGTGAAAGAAACTAAGTTTCAAATTACGTACTATATTTTACTTTTGCATATATAAACACACGGACACATTCGCACAAACTAAAACACTTATCTTTTCTCAGTAGCGAAAGAATCCCAGAAAAATCCGAAAACCATACCTAAGAGTTAAAATTTCTCTCCGACTTGGAAATTTGGGGGTGAAATTTGCTTTTTCCAACGGGTTAAAATGTTCTCGTTTTTGAGGAAGCCTTCAGAACCTTATTCAGGAGCGGATATATGGGTGTATTATATACAGTATATACAGAGTGTATCAAAAGTCCATACTCATGGGTATTTTGAATTACGTGCCATAATTGATATGTGTATGCAAGTTCATGGCATGCATTTTGAATATTTAATGAAATGAAGGTAAATAGTGAAATCTGCCTGAGTCAAACTTTTGATACACCCTGTATTTATTTACTTATTTCATGGTTGAATGGTCTCAAGAACCGGTCCCAGGGCCTTGCCATGCCCAATGTTTGGTTCGTGGATTGATGCTAGAAGTTAGTCTCTCGAATGTATAGTGAATTGTCAACAGTGTTTGTCAAACTCCTATTTCATACTTCCAATTCATCGCTTTCCAGTTAGGCCGAAGTCGGAGAGCGACATCGCAAGGAAACGAAGCCACTTAGCAAGATTTCGCTACCATGTATGACACGGCAACCCACATCACGCCACTGGAGACCTCACAGGCCTAAAGGACCATTAAAGATGGAAATATGATCGGCTGAGAAGTTTTTGGCAAAAGATCACCTCCACGGGGAGGGGATCCCTTTTTAATTCCTCGAGGCTAATGAGAGATCTTTCTTGAGAAGTTCTCGCACTCACTGGGGACTCATGGGCGGCTTGTGAAATGCAGTAGATGCGGATCGTCAATGGAGGCAGG